GAAGGACTTGCGTATAAAAGTTTGATTGAATTGAATTCCGACTGCCACAAGCAGGCAAGCACCATTAAATTTTGTCACTCGCACACGATAAAATATTAAAAACAAAGGGGTTCAATTTTAATCCTCTCTGAATCGAGTTTAATGCTCTTTCCCCAATCTGTCCATACGCTTCCTATTTGAGATATTCTCACTTTGGTACCTTTTTAAATGAAGATTTTTAGTTTGTGTTTTTTAAAGTATAGGTTTAATGTGTAATTAATATATTTTTAATTTTTAATTTATATAAAAATAATAAAATTAAGATTAATTTTAATACTAATATTACGTGTTATAATTTGATTGATTAATTATTAAATTTAAAACTAAATTTTATCTTTTTATATAATTTAATGACAAAAAATATTTTAATTACTTCTTAACCTATACTTTGAAGGTACTAATTATAAAAATCTTTTTTAAATAAGTATTTCTTTATGCAGTGACTTTTAGAGTGAAATTATTAACAAAATTTTATTTTAATTAATAAAAAAATAAAAATTGACTTTTATTTAAATAACTATTTAATCAAAATGATTTATGTGATATTAGGGATGAAATTAATAATAATTTTGTATTTTTTAATATTAATTAATATAAAAATAATACAATAATTATATTTTTAATTTATACTTTTATGATACATATTAAAAAAATCCTTTAAATAAAAATATCATTGTTGAGAAATATATGTATATCTTCATCCCTGTTACCTTTGGTTTGAGTTTTGTTCATTACCTACAAACAAAATGACTTACATATTCTCATACAATTAATTAGTCTCTTTTTTTTTTAATATTTGATGATGAGTTATCTAAAAGAAAATAACCATATCTTTTTGTCAAATTGCTAATCACTTAACTCAAAGTTAAAATTTAAAATTTATAAATGATTTAACTAATTGAACTACATCTTGATAACACCAATCCATGATAATATGGATGTGATGTAATAAATGAAAACCTACAAAGCATAACATCAACCAAAAAAAAAAGAAAAGAAAAGAAGCAAAAGAAACAAATTGATTATGCAAATACATAATCAAAGAAAATCCTAATTTTAAGATAAGTCGAATTCTCAAACCTTACCATAACCTCTACAATAGTATTAATTAGAGACGCTGACTCCTTCATGTACCAAAAAAAGTTACTTTCAAAGTGTTGTAAGGGTTGAACTTTCATCCAAAAACCTGTGCATTCTACCTGTTGTGCAAGGGATTTGGACCAGTGGGAACTACTCTCTTGTTATCCAAAGTATTGTTCTTCGTTGCCTGAGCCATTGCTGAGTCTTTGGAAGAACTTCTCTCGTCGTTATGACAACAAAATCGTGCTAACAGAGTCTTCCTCACCAGTGCATGATCCCTCCTCGAGCCAAGACCAAGACTCGAAAAAATCAGAAGGCATGCTACTACAAACATGACCCGAATCGCCAAACTCATTGCAGCAGTTCTATTTCTCAACCCCACCAACGAAGTATAAGTAGAAAAACTGTTTGGATGGAGAGAAAATTAACTTGAAAAGCGACCTTATAGAGAGAGGCAAAAGGAATAGGATTGAGGGGAGGGAAATAAAACCAAAGTGAAAGACATTAATTATGGTACCTATGATTTAAGGTAAAGTCAATTGATCCATCAACATCTCTCTGCGTTCTGTCCTGACTACAACCTTCACCAAACCTTATTAATAGCCCTAAAATTAAATTCCATGCATCCAAAGTGATCAACGTGGGAAAGAGAAACTCACCCATACCAAACTGCAACATTCCGTTTTTATAGTTTTATTTATTTCGATTGTCTAAACAACACTTTCTTAATGTCCATTGGTTGGTTTCCTTGTGCATTCGGATTTCGAAGGCCTCTGAGTCCATATACCTAAAGCTGCCATACTGTTTGGAATTGGCGTAGTTTTTCAAATTTCTTTTCATTTTGGACGAGGTGATTTGATTTCAACAATATTATTATA